CCCTCATCCCCACCACCCCCGCGCCCCTCCAGTGTTCTCACCACGTCCATCAGAGTCAGCTGCTCAGCCACTTGGTCCACACTGAAGTCCAGGAGCTCAGGGCCTTCTTGCACCAGCCCTTCCTCCTCTCCTGGGTAGCCTTCCGGGGAGTCTGGGCTGGGGGGCTGGGTAGTTCTAGGAGGTCCTGAGGGAGCATCAGAGGGGGTTAAAAATTCTCAGGTGTGAGTCCAGGCCTGGCTGTATGACCCAGGGCGAGTCCCTTAGCGTTTCTGAGCCTCACTTTCTTCATGAGTGAAATGGAGACCTCCCTGAATGTTTGTAAGGACTTAGAGCAACAGTAGCATTCACTGAACACCTAGTGTGGATTAACTTGGTTATTTATTTATTTATTTAAAAAAAAATTTTTTTTTTTTTAAATCCTCACCTGAGGATATTTTTTCCATTGCTTTTCAGAGAGTGGAAGGGGGAGAGAAAGAGAAACATTAAAGTGAGAGAAACACATCGGTTGGTTGGTTGCCTCCAGCACAAACTCTGACCCGGCCGGGAATTGAGCCTGAAACCAAGGCAGTGCCCTTGGCTGGAGTCGAACCCTGGACCCTTACCATCCAAGGGCCAACGCTCTAGCCACTGAGCTAAACTGGCTAGGGCTTAACTCAGTAATTCATCACACTGACGAGTGAGCCAGGTACTATTATCCACCTTCTATAGGTGGGGAAACTGAGGCAGGAACAATTTACCCTAAGTCACTTCAGTAAATGACAGGGCAGGGATTTGAAGCCAGGTACTCAAAGACTGGCACAGAAAATAGAGCTTTATTACTTTGAGACTTTATTAGAATGATATCTTCTGCCCTTTTCTTTTGGTGAGAGATGGTATAGCTTTGTGATTAGGGGAAGATTATGGTCAGAAAATGCCAAGTTCAGATTCAAGCTTGTCCGCCAGGCTTGCTGTGAGAACTAAAACAAGCCTTTAAACCTCTCTGTGCCTTCTTCTCTTCATCTGCATTTCTTTTTAAAAAACCAAATGAGATCACATATACCAGGCTGCTATAAAGAACTCAAATATGAATGATTACGGTAGTGGGTTTCAACTGTGGCATCTCCTAGGGGACACCTTAGAAGCTGGAATCTTGCTTCTAAGCACGATTCTTCATCATGCACTGTGAAGAATTGAGCCACCTGACCCCCAAATGTCCCTCTTAGACACTTGTGTCCTTGCTTCTTTTTGTTTGCTTTTTGATTTTTTCTTTCTTGTTTTATTCTATTTTTTTTTTTTTTTTGGTTTTCTTTTTTCTTTCTTTTTTTTTTGTGTGTGTTCATTTGTGTCCTTGAAAAGCCTGTTTACAGTAATCTGCACCTTGAACCCAACTATCTTGCTCATAAACACTAATTATTTTGGCTCCAGGAATGCAAGGACTGTGAAAGTCCTAACTTTGTTTTGTTTGGAAATTGCAAGTGTTGCTCGGCATTTTGGAATNTTTTTTTTTTTTTTTTGGTTTTCTTTCTTTTTTTTGTGTGTGTGTTCATTTGTGTCCTTGAAAAGCCTGTTTACAGTAATCTGCACCTTGAACCCAACTATCTTGCTCATAAACACTAATTATTTTGGCTCCAGGAATGCAAGGACTGTGAAAGTCCTAACTTTGTTTTGTTTGGAAATTGCAAGTGTTGCTCGGCATTTTGGAATACGATGTCACTAACATCTATGCTACTCCGTCAGTGTCACCAGTGCACTCTCCTGCATTCGTAGGTGTTTGTGCCTGTCACATTCACCATGATGTTACGACAGATGAAACTTCACCATGTCTCCTCATGAGGCATGCCCAAGCAGCAACACAGCAATAAGCATAGTTTATGGTGTAAATTGCTTTCATTTTATTTTTCCTTGGTATTATAGTTACAGCATCATATTATTATTTTAAAATTATCTGTGTAAGTCTGCTCGATTATTTGTCTTTCATTTAAAATTAGGACAGGTGGCATTACAAAGTATTAGTTTTAAAAAGTGGCATTGGGAAAAAAAAATTGCACCTATATCTAATCAAATCTTCACATCTTACAGCAAATATGGGGTATAGAGGAACATACCACATGTTACCATGAGAAAGCAAACAGGCAAATGCAGAAGAATGTGAGAGACATTGCTCAGGACAAATGACCCATTTTGTTCCCTAATGGCATTAACAAAAGGCAAAGAGGGACTGTCATAGATTAAAAGAGACCCAAGAAACACAACCAAATACCTTAAGTGGATCTTTGGGTTTCAAAGAAACAACTCTAAAAAAGACAATTGAGGGACAACAGGGTGATTTGACTGCAGATTGGGCATTTTGTTTCGTTTTGTTAATACTCATCTGAGGATATTTTCTCCATTGGTTTTTAGAGAGAATGGAAGGGAGGGAGGGAGAGAGAGAGGGAAACATTGATGTGATGCCTCTCCCATGAGCCCCAACCCATCCTGACCCAGGTGGGGATTGAACCTGTAGCCCAGGTACATGCCCTTGACTGAGAATTAAACCCATGGCCCTCCTCTGGTGCGCAGGCTGACGCTCTAACCACTGATTCATGCTGGCCAGGACGGAGTGGGCATTTTTTTATATTAGGTAATTGTTGCTGATTTTGTTGGAAATGATTGTGGGCATGAAGGTTATATATATAGTTAAAGTCCTTGCCAATTAGAGGTGTAAAATGAAGTATTGATGTGTATCTGGGATTTGCCTCCAAATCATTCGAAAATTTTTGTCAAATTGATAATTGTTAAAGATGAGTGATGGGTGTTTGAGTGTTCTTTTTTTTTTTTTTTGAATATATATTTTATTGGTTTCAGAGAGAGGAAGGGAGAGGGAGAGATAGAAACATCAATGATGAGAGTCAATGATGGGCTGCCTCCTGCACGCCCCCTGCTGGGGATTGAGCCTGCAACCCGGGCATGAGCCCTGACGGGGAATGGAACCGCCATCTCCTGGACCCTAGGTCGCTGAGCCACGCCAGCTGGACTATTTGAGGGCTCTTTGTACTATTCTTTCTACTTTTGCATGTATCTGAAATTCTCTGTAGTAAAAAGTTATCCCAAAATAAAGATGTTGAGGTTCCCAGAGCCTGGCACACAGTGGGTGTTTGATAAACATTCATTTTCTGCTCTGACCTCCAGAACTCATAGTTTAGGGCAGCACTTTCAATAGAGTTTTCTGCAACCGTGAAAATATTTTTTACTTGTGCTGTCTGATGTGGCTGCTGAGCTCTAGAAATGTGGCTAGTGCAACTGAGGAACTGAATTTTTATTTTTAATGTAATTAATTTAGGTTCAGTTTCAATACCACCTGGGGTTAGTGGCCACTGCATCGGACTGTGCAGTTCTAATGACATTGAATCAGCTGGTGAAATCTTCAAATCAGAGGAAGAAAAGCACTTAGTAACCAGGAGGAAAGATGGAGGGATACAATATACAGGGTGGGACAAAATTAGGTTTACAGTTGCTCATATGGAAAATAATGCAATAATTAATGAATAATACAAGAATAAACTCCGTGTTTCTTGAACTCACAACTGTAAACCTACTTTTGCCCTACCCTGTGTATAAATAACTGAGACATTGTCACCAGGAGGGAGAAGTGGCTGCTACTTTGTAAAGGGGAGAGAGATGTGGCCACTACCTGAGGATTAAAGGAAGGGGATTAGGGATATAGATGCTTTTGTGATAGGAATCAGATGGAACACAGATGGGTGAAAGATGATACTTTATAAGCAGGATGTAATTATTCAGTCAACAAATCCGCATTGTTCCTGTCCCTGAGGACAGAGGTGGGGACAAAACCAATGAGTACTATGCAAAAAAAATAAGGCACGCTAAAAGGACACAGAGTGGGAGAATATATTTGTTGGGAGGGGATCAGAAAAGGGATGTCTGAGGAGGTGACAACTGAACAAAGACCTGAATGAAGTATGTGGATATTTTCTCCTCCCTCCCAAAGCTTTCTACAACAGAAATTGGTAGATTTTTCTATAAAAGACCAGACACTTTGCTGACCCCTACTATACAAGAAAATATCAGTATGGCTTCTTGTACATATTCCATTATAAGTGAAGTGGTAGGTTCTAATAAGTAAGAATCATTGATAACAACAATACTGAAAATATTACTATTTGCCAAGCCCTCATTGTTTATATATTTACTTGTTTACTGATTGTCTTCCCCAGGGAACTGAGAGCTCCTATCCACTGTTAGGTGCCCAGAGGCCAGTGGCTAAATATCTGCTGAATGAATGAAAAGGCAATGAGGTAAGTACTGTTATTGCCCCCATTTCACAGATAAGGAAACTAAGGCTCATAGAAGTGAAATGACTTATCCAAGGTCACACAGTCAGCAAACGGCAGAACTGGGATTTGAATTCAGATCTCTGTGGCTCCTAAGGTAAGTAGTAATGGAATGATTTGTAGTTAAAATGCAGGGCATCCTGAGCCAATGATGAAGCATCTTTGTAGTTAAGATACAGGGGGAAGGGAGGTGCTAGATAAATGCCAATATGTTGGACAAAGGGCTGTTTTCCCCATTTTACTGGTGAGGACACTGAAGCCCAGACAAGATTAAGAACCTTGTCCAAGCCCAGCCAGGCGTGGCTCAGCGGTTGAGCATCGACCTAGGATCCAGGCGATCAGGGTTTGATTCCCGGTCAGGGCACATGCCCCGGTTGTGGGCTCGATCAATGACTCTCTCATCATTGATGTTTCTGTCTCTCTCTCTCCCTCTCCTTTCCTCTCTAAAATCAATAAAGATATATTAAAAATAAAAATAAAAAAGAACCTTGTCCAAGATTTGTAGCTTCCTGACGGGAGGAGTCCCTTGGGGGAGGGAGCAATCAGGAAAGGCCTATTTGGGGCACTGTCAGTACCCCAAACCCCTCACCTGCCGAAGCCTGGGGCTGCTTCTCTTCTTCCTGCTCTTGCTCAGCCTCCTCCAGGAAACCTCTCAGCAGTTTCTCTGCTTCCAGGGCCTCGGCTCCCAGTGGGGCAGCCCAGCCCAGAAAGGTACGCACACTGCTCAGGTCCAAGTGGGCAGGGGGGTCCCAGAAGTCCTGAGGGTGGTCCTGCAGCCAGGAGCCCAGCACAGACACCACAGCCCTGGCCAGAAGGGCAGGGCCTCAGAGGCCAGCCAGGAGCTCTGCAGCCCCCACACTTCAGATCGGGCTTTTGACCTCTAGGACCTTCCACCACTATCAGATGGGAAACCAACCTCAGGTTCTTGTTGAAGCTCAGATCTTGTCCCTCTGTCTTCTTGATCTCTACCCTGGAAGAAGCCCCCAAGTCAGGTGAAGAAGGGTGTGGGGGAAGGGGGATGCTTAGGAGAAGGGTTCTGAGGTTGGGGGATTTCCTGTTTCTAAACCTGAGGGAGGGCCCAGGTGAGGGTCAGGGGTGGGAACATGGAGATTTCCCCATCAGTACTGACCAGGGTGGCAGGGGTGGCGGCGGTGGTGCCAGGAGAAGGCCCAGAACGCGTGCAGTGGGCACGAAGGCCTGGTGGGTGGCCAGGAAGGCAGGCACGAAGCCTGGGTCCTGCTCAGGGTCTACAGACACCAGCTCCTGCACCAGCCTCTCCAGATGCGCTGCCCTCAACACCCGCACCTTGCTGGTGCGGTAATGGAGGAAGGTGTCAGCGTTGGGGCTGAGGGCCTGTGAGGCAGGGGGGTGGTGATGATTCAGAGGAGCACCCCTTTTCCATTGCTAGCAGGGCTCTTGCGCCTGATCCTGCCCATTCGTCTGAATCTGGCTCCCTGGATTTATCATTCTGCACCATGCACAAATGACCTGGACACCTTCTCCCTCCTGGGCCCGCCCTCTGCCTCCACGCCTCACCTCCCTCCCCGCCCCCAGGCTGCTCGCAGCTCCCCAGCTATGCTTCACTGGCCGCCCGGGTCCCCGCCCTCCACCTCGCCCTCGCTCACCAGACGCTTCTAAGGAGCACCCATCCCTCTCTAGCTCCGCCCCACTAACCTGGCGCACCTGGCCTCCGTCCGCAGGTCCTGCCCGCCAACTGGGTCCCGACCTGGCCCCACCTCTCTCATCCACCCCACTCACCTGGACGCCCGCCTTGCTTGGCCGCCTCCAAGGCCCGCTTCCCTCCCGCTCCCGCTCCCGCTCCCCACTCCAGCCCGCCCTCACCTGGACTTCACCAGCCCCACCCTGCCCGCCAGTCCCCGGCTCACCTGGCCGTCCCCCGGCCCTTCCCGGGGGCTCAGGCGCTGACTGCGCTGCCGCCGCAGGGAGACACTGTACACCGCGCCATCCTCGGTCTCCTCGCCCCAGTCCTGCAGCGGCGCCTGGATGCGGAGGAGGGGCTCAGGGCGCCGCGGGAGGTCGGGTCCGGGGCCTCGGCTCCCCTCTGTCGCGGGGACGCAGGCCGGGCTTCCCGGAGTTTGTGAGACTCAGGCTAGGAAGTCCCCTTGGCGATGCTAGTACCCTCCCCCCTGGTCCTGGGAGGATGGGGTGGCATTTGGGGACGTCCCAGGGTCCAGTCTCACCGAGCCTGCCTCTGGCCTCCTCCCCTCCATCCCTAAGAGGAACCAGCCACTTCACTGAGTCGGAGGACGAGAGGCCCGAGGTAGGGAGTCCTGAGCGAATCCGAGGGGTCCGGTTTGCCGGGAGATAGGGCCCCGGGGACAGGCACCCGGAATTTCTGAATCAGGGG